GGACTTAGTTTTTTTCCAGTTAACTTTACATACAGTCTGCAGTTAAAGATTTTAAAACATTTATTAGATTCATAAACTATCCTGGATTTTGGACAGAAGCTTCTTACAATCAAAAGATAGTATCTAGAGGAAAATTTTTAATAATATTTTCCCCATTTTTGTTGAGCCTGTGACTTTTGTTGCAAAAGCCAAACATAGCGATCCTACATTCCGTTGTCGTCTGAATTAAGGGATAAATCATCAATTAATGTAAAAATTATCTTCTTTTTCATTTGTTCATTTGTTTCAACTCTTTTATAAATCTATAGATTTGATTGTATACTGTATTCATTTTTTATAAGCATATCTTTTTTCATGCACTTCAAACATTTTATTTCATTAACTGTAAATCTATTATGTGCATTCCCCTATCACACTGAAAACATACACAACAGCAAAAGTAGGCAAGACACTGGGTTTTGCAGAACCCTTACAAATTTTTTAAAATTTTGCCTATTATCTCGAAAATTATAATAGATAGACAGAAACCTTAAATAGCAAAAATGATAAGCAAGACAAGATCTACAAATAAGTCAACATGGCTGAAATCTTCAGTCGACTCCTTATTAGAGTTTTTGCCCCTTAATGACGATTTTTACCAATTTTTTTGCAAATTTTACTTAATATCTTGAAAATTATATAAGTTAGGTAGAAATTTAAATAGTAGAAATGATCAACAAGACAAGATTCACAACTAAGTCAACATGACTGAAATTGTTAGTTGACTCCTTATTGAAGTTTATTACCCTTTAATGATGATTTTTTCCATTTTTGCCTATCATCTTGAAAACTGTAATAGAAAACTTCAGTTGACTCATTGTTGGAGTTATTGCCCTTTAATGATAATTATTTACATTTTTTGGCATTTTTTGCCTATTATCTTGAAAACTGTAATTGATAAGTAGAAACTTTAAAATGAAAAAAAATGATCAGCATATCAGGATAAGATCTACAAATACAAATTATATTGAACAAGACTGAAATGGTCAGTTAACTCTTAATAGAGTTATTCCCCTTTAATGATGATTTTTCCTAAAAATGGCCATTGTTGAAGATGCAGGTGAGCGAGCGACACAGGCTCTTTAGAGCCTCTAGTTTAACTTTGTGGTAAATTATGATGTGTTTAGTCCTTCAAGCTCCCCATCTCCGAATAAAGATATTTTGCCAGTGAGTTATAGTTAATCAAGAGTTGAATATTCATCAGAGAAGAAAAAATTTCAAGGTGTCACTTTAAAAAATATTTGATTCACAAATATTAATGGTTTATTATGTAACTAAGAATTCATTGCTATCTGGTGTTTAGTTTCTTGTTTGTCTTCAACTTCATCTTAGGACTAATAATTTAGAATGATTTGGATAGCTGAAGGGAAAATACAACTTCAATGCAAAATTGTCAGTTCTTCAATCAAAATGAAACATTTGAGAATTGCTTGATAGAAAATCCAAGCATTTCTTGCTCAAATATTTTATTTTCTTAAAGCTTCACAAGATTATCATTGCATCTTTTATCAATTTTCCATTGAAAAAATGTAATTTTGTGGATATTTCATTTGTTTGCGCGGAATTCTGGATACAAACCTATAATAGAAAATTTGTATTTGAATTCTTGTTTCACCTATATATACATTTAAACCAAAAACGTTTTCACCTACAAATAATATTATTATAATCCATTGCATTATTTTTTTCTGTTCTTTTTTTATAAAAACTGGCAGATACAATTCTTCACTTTAGTTCCTTTGTTGGTTTGCTTTAAAAGGGAGGTCTTGGAGATATTTGAATTTGTACTTTCTCTTAAACATGCTCACATGTACATATATAATTCTAAAAGGCACCATCAGTGACTCTGACCTTATGGATTTCAGGTCAATGTTGTTTGGGGGTTATAATATAGGATGTTGAATGGTTTAAAAGGACTTCCAGTTCTTCAGTCCATCTGTTACAGTAGTATTGATAGTATAATATCCCTAAGGACAAGTTACTGGTGTGTATAAATATTGAGATTTATACATATTTAACATTTAATGTGAATTATTTTTATCAATATTTTAGTTTTCTAAATCATTAATGTAGAGGTAAGTTCTTCATTGTTAAGATATGTTTGCTTTACAAGATGTGAGTATCAAGTTTTTTTAAAGATGAAAGGTTGTGATCTCAAAAAACTATAGTTTAAACAAGGAATTATTTGAATCTGGAATAATTTTGAATTCTGAAAAAGACTGATAAGAAATGCATAATGAAAACTAACCCAACTAAATAGGGTAAGCTAGCGTGCATGGCTCATGGCTAAGGTTAATTATACTTCCACTGATATTTCAGTATGAACTCAAACTAACCCCCGTTAGCCATGCATGCATGCATGGCTAACCTTCCTAAATTGGATTAGTTTTTAGCTCACCTGGCCCGAAGGGCCAAGTGAGCTTTTCTCATCACTTGGCGTCCGTCGTCCGTCGTCGTTAGCTTTTTACAAAAATCTTCTCCTCTGAAACCACTGGGCCAAATTTAACCAAACTTTGCCACAATCATCATTAGGGTATCTAGTTTAAAAAATGTGTCCGATGACCTCGCCAACCAACCAAGATTGCCGCCATGGCTAAAAATAGAACATAGGGGTAAAATGTAGATTTTGGCTTATATCTCTGAAACCAAAGCATTTAGAGTAAATCTGACATAGGGTAAAACTGATTATCAGGTAAAGATCTATCTGCCCTGAAATTTTCAGACAAATCTGACAACCTGTTGTTGGGTTGCTGCCCCTGAATTGGTAATTTTAAGGAAATTTTGCAGTTTTTGGTTATTATCTTGAATATTATTATAGACAGAGATAAACTGTAAACAGCAATAATGTTCAGCAAAGTAAGATCTACAAATAAGTCATCATGACCAAAATTTTCAGTTGACCCCTTTAGGAGTTATTGCCCTTTATAGTCATTTTTTAACAATTTTTCGTAAATTTTTGTAATCTTCTACAAAAATCTTCTTCTCTGAAACTACTGAGACAAATTTAACCATACTTGGCCATAATCATTATTAGGGTATCTAGTTTAAAAATTTTTTTTGATGACCCCGCCTTCCAACCATCATGGCCGACTTGGTTAAAAATAGAACATGGGGGTAAAATGCAGTTTTTGGTTTATATCTCTGAAACTAAAGCATTTAGAGCAAATCTGACAGGTGGCAAAAATGTTCATCAGATTTAGATTTATCTGCCCTGAAATTTTCAGACGAATCCGACAACATGTTGTTGGGTTGCTGCCCCTGAGTTAGTAATTTTACAGAAATTTTGCAGTTTTTTGTTATTATTTTAGATATCATTATAGTATCTAATATCTAAAACTATTAATTATGATTTTAACCTTATTTTTACATGATTTCCAAAGCATCAGTAAATACAGGTGAGCGACACAGGCTCTTGAGAGCCTCTAGTTATCATTCATTTCTTTTCGATTTTCCAGGATTCAAAATTATTCCAGATTCAAATAATTCCTTGTTTTTAACAAAATGTACCTTTTGAAAGTCAATTTTAATTTAAATTTTTTTAATTTTTGTTTTAATTTACTGATAACAAAATCAATATCAATACCAGTAAAAACAATATTTAAAGATCTAATTACAGTGTCTAATTGGTAACCTTTTAGAATAAGTTTATAAAAAGGATCGATAAGTTTACACGGATCGTATCTAAATTTGGAGGCTAGGTAAACAACATCACCGTATAAATTATGTATGTTTGCTTCTCTCAACCAAAAGAAAAAGTATATAATGGCCACACCATAGGAAGATCACTGTTTAGAAGATTTCCTTGCTCCTTCTGTGGAATGATGGAAATGAATAACAAAACAAACAGAAGAAAGTATAGGGTTTAAACCATTGAAAGAATCACTTTTTTACTTTGAACCTTAAAGCTAAATTGCCTTAAAAAAAAAATTTTCAGTTAGTAAATGTTCACAATAATTAACATCTCTCCAAACATTATCGGTAAGACATTTACTGTTTTGTCCTGTCTGTCAGTTTGTCCTTCACAAATGTTTGTTGATGTGAAGGTTCTCTAACAGGTACATTTTAAATTGGATGGATGAATTGTTTGTTTGGCTCCCAGTTCCTTGACAAATTTTGTAACTATGGACCTTTAAGTGTGTGGCAATGTTACTTTGATTATACCGTAATTATTTATTTTTGAAGACAGTATTTTGATCTGTAGATGTCTTGGTGCTTAGTGTATTGTTTTGGTCTTTTTATTGGGGGGGGGGGGGGGGGGGGATTATGTTTCTGTTTCAATGATGTATTCTACATGTCTCCTTTTGTTCATGCAAATCTTGTTTATGTTTTGTTGCAATTCAAAGGCAATGCTTACCCATGTTTCAGATATGTACTTGTCACACTGACATTCAAGGACATTATGAGTTTAAAAAACTTTACCATTGTCTCAATGACCTACAATGTACATTTCAAAAGTACTGCCTAACAATTTGCACAAATAACAAAGAATGCCATTTCAAACTGCCCCATATTTCCAACATAATCAAGATAATAGTAAACAGTCTGGGCTGTGTGACTGATCTAATTTAGTTATTTACTTAGAAGTGTTTATGTTAAAAAGACATGTTCCTGAGCAGTTTCAGGTCAAGATGACTTACATTTCTAATATACTCAAAAGTTCAAGGTCACAACTCATTTTGAATTATTAGAAAGAAGTTTTAGGTAACAAATTGTTCACATACTGTTGACCTATTCAACAGGTTTTAAGGTCACAATAACCTGATATTCTATTGTTTATGCTTGTTAACTTATGATTTCAAGCTGCACTGCCAAGTTAATGATCTTTTCAGCATTAATTGTCGACAATTGACTGCATGCATTAATTGGCAAGAAGACTGCAGTTGATGATACATGTAGTTTTATGATTTACATGTTAATTGAATACATACCCTCATTAATTACTGATACTGTTTATATATTTACAGGTACTGACTATTTCCAGTGACTATTTGTTATGTTGAAATGTTTCGGATTGTAACTAGACCACAGACTCAATGAGGGTAAGAAATAAATCTTTAATATTTAATAAAAGTTGATCAAGAGTTATCTTTTCACAGATCTCATCACTTAAGGTTGCAGTCTTGTAATTGACTGCTCCATAGGCTTACATGCTAAACAGCTGATCTTTGAAATTTTCTTAAAATGAAATGCTACATAGAAATTTTTTTTTCATGTACATATCATGTATGTAGTAATGTGAAATTGTGATTTAATGGAAAAAAAAGTGGGTCATGCCATGAAGAATAAAAAGTTATGAAACCATGAAGTCAAAACTACTTTTTTCTACTTTCTGTTTGCTGTTTTTACTAGGCCGCACCACTGCCAGTTCCACTTTCCTGGTATGATATCTCAAAAAAGATGCAACATTTTTTAAAAATTTAAATAGATGTTTCAATTCAGCATAAACTTTTAATCAATCAGAAAAAAATGGATTATTTTATTTCACGCCATGTTTTGACATGCTGGAGTTGTAATACAAGACTGGGGTACCTTAATACTGACAATTTTTTCAACTGTGCTGAAGTCATTCTGATATGTTCATATTAGTTTCACCCCATGAACTAATTTCAATGTTTGTTACAAATGATTTAAACCTCACACCACATGAAAATTTTACTTAAATTCACCTTTCCACTCACACACATTATATATACTAGCTTTCCTTATGGAAAAAAATCATTTAAATTAAATCGTAATGACAGAGAAACATATATATTAAACATATTATTAAGTTTACAAATTATAACACTAAATTATAAATAAAAAGTATTAAATACTTTAAAGGATCAGATAAAAACTTATTGGATCTGAGCTGATTATTAGCCTTTCTGGTTTTTAATTTATTTATTCTTAATATATTGTGTTTACTTATTTGTAAGTGAATTTACAATTTTTTACATGGGAGATAACTCAAAAACTGCTAGGTGTTCTCTGAAATATTTTTGCAGCTGTTCATTTTCAATTTGTTAAGTTGATGCTGTAATTAAAAATAATAAATGAAGTCTTGATTGTAATAGATTTTTAAATTTTTAAAAGTTTCTCTTCTTGTGTCTTGATTAACAATTCAGGGACTTATAGTCTTCAAATTTTGGGGTATGATTATCACAGTCGATCAGACTTGGTATTTCTAGCACAAATTTTGTATTCTGTGCTGAATTAAATTTAATGACTAAAAGACCAGGTCGGCAAGCAGGGGTTTTTAGTTGTGTAACTTATAATTGACATAATTTGGACAGTGTGCCCTATAACGTCTGTACTGTATGAATTGATAGAAAAAAATCAGAAATTAAGTCAATTTTGTAACCATTGACCCTTAACTGACCAAATGAAGAGAATGTTAATCAATTGATTGTCATGAGTTGAGACAGCTTCCAACTAGAGATTTATTTAGTTGATATATGAATTATTGATCTTGGTAAGAATTAGAACAGAAAATAACAATCATACAAAATGTTTGACATTAGTGCCTACATAAACCTAATACAATCATTCTATGTAAATAGCCCATTTATTTGTTATATATATATTACATTGTGTACCGATATGTTTTCCAATTAACAAGGGTTAAAGTTGAACTCTGATGGATAGTTGTCTCATTTGGCAATCATACCACATCTCATTACTTTTATATTCAAGTCTTTTCTTTAAATATACCTAGAAAAGATACAGGAATTTTTGGACAGCACAAAATATTATGGCAATACCTGTGTCCTCTGAAGAAAAAGTTAATGTATATATTTATTGGCAATTTGTACATTTTTCCTTTGATCAATTCAGTATCAAAAAACAAAATGCCATTATTCTTTTTATCTGCAATTTGTCTTTTAAAACAACCAAGTGGGCTCGCTTGATATTCTTGCTGATAAAATCAGTATCAATAACAAATTAAAATGCCATTATTTTATATATATATACATGTATATGTAACAATTAAAGACAAACAAAAATTGAAAAACATATGGTCTGGATAGCCTTACAAATTAGTACAGGCACACAATGCGATGGGTTAAACAATTAAGTTATAAATAAATTATTTTTTCTTTAAAATCTTACGCCAAGATGTCATTTGATGTAATTGGATATCTTGAATTTAATTATCATACTTTTCCATATCATAAGGTCAAATGGCTGAAAGACCCCCTCCTAAATTATTGAAATCAATCCTTTTTTCATTAACCATATGATATGAGCTACGTCAGATAGAAATCGACCTTATGCAAATGAATATCATTGCATCTGTTAACTTATTTCTGGTTGAAAAATCTCTACGGAAAGTTTGTAACTGTTTGAAAATTGAGTTGATATAAGAACCCTACAAAACAGACCAACATTCATCTTTTATTTGGTATTTGAATGTTCCAAAACCAACCAAAGTCTTATGTACATGTATATGTGCACTTGCACAAGGTCTATTTCTATCTGACACAGCTCATATCTTGATGTATTAAAACTAGAAACATAGAATCGGTCTATAGCGTCCCTATTGGTGTATCTAGATGTGATACTTGTATCTAGAGAAATGTGATATGGACATTTGTAATTCAAAGCTATAGAGTATTTTCTTCCTGTGAAAAACTGAGAATTGGATAATTTACAGGAAAAATAACTGTATACATGTAAAGTCGTCTGTTTCATATTTTGGCATTGTCTGGCTAAATATTGTGGAAGATGAACTTTCAGGTCATACTGTCATTCCACATCTCCATATTTTATATCTTAGCACGTATCAAAGTTTTAGTTCAGACGACATATGTATTCATTTGTTATTCTTTTAATTATTAAATATTTTCATTAAAGTCTCCAAAACAAAGTTTTAGTTCAGTTGACATGTATTCATTTCAATGGTGCAATATTTTCATTAAAGTCTCCAAAACAAAGTTTTGAGATTTATAAATTATCTATGGTTTTGAAAACTAGAGGAAGTTCCTCGTCTACAATCTCATCGTTGCTTATGTTGTTATTGTGTTCTCACTCAAGTCGACTGAGAAATTTATAGGTTAAATATATACTTTTTATGGAGCCTTACTTCTACTTAAAATTCCCAAATTGGATAAAAATAGGCTATATGATTTACAGAATAGAATTTTAATTCAAACAAAATTGGTAGAACTGCAAAATATTTCAGTGTGGCCTCAAAATTCTTTTTTTTTCTCTTTAATATTCCTTTGAATGTTGTAATCTGAATACTTGTACAACTGAAACTAAATCTTTGTATTAGAATTTAAGTACTCATGCACTCAAGTATCCTTTATATTTGTGTTTTATATTATATTTTAGGTAAGACAGTTTATTTGTATGATGTTAAATTAGCCTGTTTTTGAAAATATTGTATTGCAAAATAGGTGATATTAGGCAACGAAAATTCTGAACAACTATTATAACATACATCAATACATGTTCTATCACTTAGGTTTGTAGAGGTAGAGATACTGTTTACCTTAAAGTAGTTGTTTTCCTTTTAAAAAAATTCTAATATCTAAAACAAAGACAGTATTTTGAAAAATAGATTATTATGCCAGTTAATTAGTTCATTTCCCCCTTGCTTTATAAATATTGCAAATAGATTACATAGCAGTAATAAACCTAGGACCATTTGTAGAATTTTTCCTTCTTAAATTACTACTTGTCCTTATTATATAATTATATAATCACTTGTCATGCTAGTTTCTCATAACCAACAAAGAAAAATATATTCTCAGAAAACAATTGAAGATATTGTTAATAACTATGATTAATGCCATGCTACTTTAGATCAGTTATAGAAAATATCCACCAGCGATGAAAACCATATCTTTTTTGAAATCATTTATATACAGTGATAATATTACGATGTTGATTTCTTTATGACAGAGTTACATTGATTGGTTGTATACCACGATTATTTATACTGTACGATATCAAAAAAGGAAATAATTCTACTACTTGTATTCGCCAATTTGGATATTCTGGTAAACGTGTTTATAATACAATATCATAGCAACACTGTTGGATGTGTAGGAATCTTCACATGACGTAAGATTCAAAATTAAATATTTATTTATTAATGGCTTCAATGTTCACTGATTCATATTGATACGATGCTGTTAAAATCTTTGTAGGGTTTGCTTGACTTGTGGCTTGAAAAACTTTTTATGTCAGTTGAATACATTCTATAACACTCCAGATTTTCACTAGCCCTCATTATAAATTACCCAATCAGGTCTGATAGGTTGTGACGAGATTTTTCGCAAGCTCTGTTTATATCCTAACCCTAATTAGGATGTACAATTGCAATAGTTATTTGGTCTGTCCATCTGAATGTCTGTGGTCAATCACTTGGTTTATGACACTTCGTTATAGGAATGTTTTAAGTACTAATAATAGCATTGCGTGTGTACCTCCTTCTTTACCGTTTGTTTGAATATATTTGGGTTTTCATACCCCAGCAAAAAAAGGTTGGGTGGGTATATAGGAATCACCATAAAGTCACTGACCTTGACATTTAACCTTTGACACCTATTAAAAGTAAATTTTTGTCCAATTCATGTCCGGTTCCTAACATCTGTACTGTAAAATTGAGGTAAACTAAACATGGTATGCAGTTGCATCTCAGGCTAGGGTGTTTCATATACCAAAGTCAGGTCACTCTGACCTTGACTGACCTTTGACCACTTTGATAGTTAAACCTTGTCTGATTAGTGTTATGTTCATAACTTTTGTACTGTAAAATTTAGATAAACTAAACTAATGGTATGCAGTTGCATCTTTGGCTAGGGGTGTGTTTAATAGCAGTCTGGTCACTCTGGCCTTGACTTTGACCTTTCAACTGATGATACTAAAACATTGTCTGGTTTGTGTTTGGTGCATAGCTTTTGTACCTTAGCACCATACTGACCTTAGCCTTGACCTTTGACCCCTATAAAAGTAAAATATTGTCTGATTTGTTTACGGTATATAACTTCTTCAGACACTGATAGCACTTAACTTGACAAAACTTTGTATGCAGAAGCATCATAGGATCAGGATGTGTCATATACAAAAATCAGCTAACTCCGATCTTGACCTTGACCCTTGAACCCTTTTGTTGAAAGAAATATCTCAAATAGACATTGTCTCAATACTGAATTTCATAGCAGCAATGCAAATGCATGTACAGCTCTAGTTCTACAAATATTCTACTGACATCTGACCAAACAATGTCTGACATACTTTATTTCTGTTAGATTTATTTAACTTTCAAAGACTGAGGATGATTTAGAGGTTGACACTAAGACACCTACATGACTTTGTATTGTTGAACACTATTGCCCTCTGGACATTTGTGATTATTGTTGTTGGGTTGCTGTCTCATTGAAACTTAACCCCTGATCTCCTTTTTATTCATAATGGAAATATGATAGGCACTGAATGATCAAAACTTTTAAGTTCTTATTGGATACTATTCAGTTATTTTCATTTATTTGAAATTATATACTCTCTATTAAAGTGCAAAAAGATTTGTGGACAGAGTGTGCCAAGGTTTGACAACACCTGAGGGGATTACCTTTAATCCAGGTTATAATCCTGTTCATAACATGACCATTGAAATGTGATCACATTGTTGTTTGTAAACAGGATTAAAACTGTGTTGATTTGATAATTTTAGAAGATAAGACTCCAGATATAAGGTATGTGTTAATTCTGCATGAAATTCTTGTTTGAATTTGACTGTGTAATGAATGGAGGGTTTAGGTTTGATTGCCTAATGTGTTGTATCCATATAAAGGGATGCAAGGGTGTCATTATTTTTTATGTGGACTTGTATTTTTCTGATTTTTATACCCCCTTCAAAGTATTATGGTTTACCAATGTCCATCTGTTTGTCTGTCCATCAACACTTGGTACGTAACTTGAGTTTGTTTGGATTGTTTTAGTGGAAACTTAACATAATTGATGGAATTAGTTGACAAAACAAATCATTTGATTTAAAAAAAAATGGTATCCTCAGTCATGTTTTTCTACAGATCCATTTTTTTTGCTTATTATTAAATGCCTTCAAAATATCCCATTTTATTCTTGCAATAAATTCAATATGCATAATAAGGGCTGGAAGTATCATATGCTCTTGACACATAATTTTATTAGAGAAGAATTATAATTTTCTATATATTATTAGATTTCCTTACATGAAAGTTCCTTAATTTCTCTTTGAAATTGTTTAAAAGAATTGGTAGGTTGACTAAAAGAATGGTGGTCATCAATCTAACATAAAGTTCAAGGTACAAGAAAAAAGGGAGCAATTAAATTAGATTGGGTGGTGTAATTATGGGGGTTGATTAAAACAATAATACTTAAAAAAATGATTTTTTGGAAGAATGACACTTGAATAAGTGATTTAAGAAATCACTCATTTAAGTAATTCCCCTGACTGTTTAAGGATTTAAAGGAGGGACCAACTAATGCAAGTGTGAACCACCATGTATGAACCTTCTTGGGAAAACACTGGGATACCCATAGGCGGATGCAGGGGGGAGGGGGGGTGCCCAGGCCCCCCTTTTGTGGGAAAAATTTGGTTGATTTAATATATAGGGAATCACTGAAGTATAACTGGAGCGGCCCCCCCCCCCCCCCTTAGGTCAGTCAGCGGGCCCCCTTAAGTTCTGGATCCGCCACTGATACCTGGCCCTGCTGCTTATTATTGAAGGCACTAGTGATGTTGTTAATATATGACTTACCTTCTAAATATGGCTTATGAAAGAAATTTCAGTTATTATTGTAATGTTTAGCTGACACCTAGCTAAGGGCCTATATTGATTGCTAGGATCATTTAATGGCATCTGTTTGTAATTGTAACAGGTTGCTCTTTTATTTTTTAAACAGTCAGTCTGTTATTTTGATTGTCTTTAGATATTATTATAAGGAAGATGTGGTATGAGTGCCAAGGAGACAACACTCCATCCAAGTTACAATTTATAAAAGTAAACCATTATAGATCAAGGTAAGGCCTTCAACACGGAGCATTGGCTCACACCGAACAGCAAGCTATAAAGGGCCCTTAAAATTACCAGTGTAAAACCATTCAAACGGATTGTTTTTATCTGTTTCATGTAACTGTTAATATTATTATCAATGCCTAAATCTGTTTAAACCAAACTTGGGCAGGAGAAATGGATGTAAGGTTATTTATTGAAAGGACTACTTTTTGTTCCAAACAGTTGAACGGTAAGACTAATTGTCAGAGGCTTTTATTCATACTTTAATTTTGTATTATAGGAACTATTACAAACTTTTATATGTTTATAGTGTTAACTGAACTAAGCTTTAAGGTAAAACAAAAAACTGAAATCTAACTGGTGAAAATGAAAACCACAAATTCCAGTCTTCTATCAAGATTAAGTGATACAAACTCCCACAGAAAACATTTATCCATATGATCTGAGCTATATATAGGTGGTATTTTCTTGTTATTCCCCAAAGAATTTGATCTTTAGAATTTGATGGGGTTAATACTAAAATGACATTTCAGAAATATATATGAAATAGAGGTATTAAGAAAAACAAAAAGTTGGATTACCAGTGAATCAATAAAAATATATAGAAATTCCTTTTGTTCAACTTTCATTATTTTATGTGAAAAAAATGCATTATTAGCTTGTTAGTTTTGTGTACAAAAAAACTTATAAATTTTGTTAACACTCAGATCTTTGTGTCTAATTATGAAATTGTTTGAAACACTTGGATGATTGTTTTTTATCTGTTAAAATCTATGCTGTTTGTTTTGTTTTGTAAACCACTGAGATGTTTGTTTTTTGATTTGTAAAACACTTGGATGTTAGTTTTGTTTTAAAAATCACTTGGATGATTGTTTTGATTTGTTAAACACTTGGATGTTTGTTTTAATTTGTTAAACACTTGGATGTTTGTTTTGATTTGTTAAACACTTGGATTTTTTTTTTGAAAAACACTTGGATGATTGTTTTGAAAAACACTTGGATGATTGTTTTGATTTGTAAAACACTTGGATGTTTGTTTTGATTTGTTAAACACTTGGATGATTGTTTTGATTTGTTAAACACTTGGATGTTAGTTTTGATTTGTTAAACACTTGGATGATTGTTTTGATTTGTTAAACACTTGGATGATTGTTTTGATTTGTTAAACACTTGGATATTTGTTTTGATTTGTTAAACACTTGGATATTTGTTTTGATTTGTTAAACACTTGGATGTTAGTTTTGATTTGTTAAACACTTGGATGTTTGTTTTGATTTGTAAAACACTTGGGTATGAAAATAAAGAGATTGCCAATGAGACAACTAACCACCAATGCTAAAAAAAAATGGATGTAAGCAATCACAGGCAACCGTACGGCCTTCAACGATGAGAAAACCCATACCGTATAGTCTGCTATAAAAGGCCCCAACATGAAAAATATGAAACAATTCAATTTAGAAAACTAACTAATGCTGTAACTAAATCTGTCATGTATAATGATAGGAAAGAATTAAAACAAAGAAAACAGTAGCATATTATAATAGTACAAGGAAGATCCCTGATTGACTTCTGAACATTTCTTTGACAATGGATAATATCCTAGAAGATTTGACTCTAAGCTTGAACTAAAACAAGGAAGTACTTTGATGGTTTACCAAAAGTTAATTTAACAAGATGCAATGCATGTAGATTAAATCAGTATAATTCTAGTCATTGTTTTACTGTTTCCCTGTGGAATTAGCAGTGATAACATGAAATAAGTTAATTCAGAATGAAATATGATTAGGTTATAGATTTTTTAGTTGGTCTAAAATAATGTCACATGATTTTATTTGATATTTCAGATGATTGGAAACAATTGTGACTCATTTTCATAACAGTGAATGTATAGTTAGATTTGTCAGTAAACTTGGTAAGTAAATAGCTTTTACATATGTAGATAACATTTGGTTCTGATATTTATTGATGTCTCAAAGTCAAAAGGGGAGATCACTGTAGGGGATTTTTTTTAAAGAGAGGACTGATAGTAGAATGAATGTTGTCTGTTGTTTTTTTATTTTACAGTAAAAATGTGTTATAGTCAGCATATAAATGAGGGCCTAGATGAGGTTTACAGAATAGAGAAAAATGGGCAAACTTAGAATAGGGAAAATATAGAGTAGGGAAAAGGGGCAAAAAATAAAGAATAGAGACCATGGGTCAAAAATATCTAAAATAGAGAAATGGGCATTAATATAAAGAAGAGAGACCATGGGTCAAAAATATCTAAAATAGAGAAATGGGCATTAATATAAAGAACAGAGACCATGGGTCAAAAATATCTAAAATAGAGAAATGGGCATTAATATAAAGAAGAGAGACCATGGGTCAAAAATATCTAAAATACAGAAATGGGCATTAATATAAAGAAGAGAGACCATGGGTCAAAAATATCTAAAATAGAGAAATGGGCATTAATATAAAGAACAGAGACCATGGGTCAAAAATATCTAAAATAGAGAAATGGGCATTAATATAAAGAACAGAGACCATGGGTGAAAAATATCTCAAATAGAGAAATGGGAAGCATTAATATAAAGAATTGAGACAATGGGTCAAAAATATCTCAAATAGAGAAATGGGAAGCATTAATATAAAGAATTGAGACAATGGGTCAAAAATATCTAAAATAGAGAAATGGGCATTAATATAAAGAATAGAGAATATTTTGCCTATGTTTTAAAATTTATTTGAGGGAACAACAGTTGTAGACATCTAAAGTTAAATTTCTGAAAAAAATTATAGCTAGCAAAAAAACAAATTTCCATTTCTACATATATCACAACGATATTGACTATAAAATACAGATTGATGGATGGTTTTAAACACAAAAACACAGCTGCTCTTTATAGTCATCACCAATAATATTTTGGTCCAATAATCAAATTAATCTGACATTTATTGGCATAGAACATGTAGAAGTTATACTGATATATAATATTTAAAAAAAAAAAAATGGAACAATAGATCTGTTCTACAACTTAGAATTGTCTTCTCCAACATTTTGACACCTGTATCCTCTGAAAAAAAACCATACAAGTACATAAACAAATAGCTTAAATATATATATATATAGTAAGTTTGAATTGTTTCAAATTTTTCATGGCAGGGTCTTTTATACCTGACTATACAGTATGGGTTTGTCTCATTGTTGAAGGTCGTACAGTGCCATTTCATTGCTTACTTCCACCTCATTTTAACTGTAATGGATAGTTGTCTCATTGGCAATTATATCCCATCTCTATTTTTTTATATAGACAGAACAACAATGAACTGCACATATGGGCCAGTTAGCCTGATTTAGTACAGACACAAAATTTGGTGAGAAAGTTTAACCTGCACACCCTCCTCCCCCTTCTTTTGATTCCATATCTATAGTATCTATACCGTATAAAGAAAATATTTACACAGATAATTAAGAGAGTAAATTTCTTGATTTTAAAAAGACTTTTAAGTCAAAATTTTTTATTAAAATAGAATCAAATGTGATCCAGTAGATGTGCTCTGTACAACTTGTACAAAGACAAAATTAAAACATAAGGGAAGGCATGTATGTTCAGAGTGGTCAGAATAATGTACAAGTATGAAATCTTAAAATATAAAACCATCTTATCTATCATATATATTTTACAATTTATGGAGAGCGATCAAGTATACAAAATATTAAAATTTCATTGTCTATGAACATCCTCTCCTAGAATTGACATAATTCACCTTAGGTTCACTTGATTTCCACATCCTTTATAAGTTGTATTCGACAGATGAATATTTTATAGCAGAAGTCTCTAGCCAGTGACTGCATATTTATCTTTTGAAATTTCCTGAGATTTTGCAGATCGTAGAACACTGAGAAGTTAAGCAATAATGCTGTAATGTCTTGGTTGTTGTTGAAGAGTTTTTCCCATTTGTTGCATCAATGATACTCGTATGAAGTCAACCTGAATGTTGTTTTAGCTGATTAATACATGTAGTTATTTATTATTTCTATAATTTATTCATTGCAATGTGGGTGGTAAGAATTTTATGAAAATTAAAGATTTAGCTGCAAAAGAATGTTAAATATTATTGAAAACATTTACCAAAAAAGGTTTTAGTATAAATATATCACACCAAATTCATCAATGGAAGATTTTTTTTCTTTTAAGTTTTTAAATTTGACACCTTTGTAAAATTTGACCTGAACACTTTATGTGAAAATAGATTGTTTTACTTAGTAATTTAGTTGATTGTGTAAATTTTCTTTCATTTTCAATTTAAGATAAACAAAATCACTTTTTATAAATACTTAATTGGATTATTGTAATAAATATTTTAAGATGTCATTATGACTAATCCTTGAGTTGAATGGTGGTTTAATTACAATGGTATTTATAGATATTGATAAGTTTTATTGTGTGTAAGTACATGTATAAACTGTAAGCAATTCATTGGTCAAGATTTCATGTTTTGACTGGCAAAATGATAATCACCCAGGGTTAGAAATTAGGAATTAATTGTCCAGAAGTACACAGGTTTAAATATGATAGAAAATGTGGTATTATACAGACAAACTATCATTACACAGTAAGATAACTGGTGAGTGAAGAATAATAGAAGTGAAACTCTTCAAATGATTAAGGAAAAAGAGACAATATCTTAATTGTTTCTTGTGATTCATACTAATTTAAGGTTATTTTAATTCACAATTATACAGCATAAATTATTTTATAACTGTATGATTTAAAATTTATATTGGTTTACTTCACTTATTATTGATTTTAGTTAAAAAAAAAACATTAGGAATTTGTTCAATGTCTTTTGACTATTTCAATCTGAAGCTAGACATACATTTCCAGGGGCGGATTCAGGCGGGGGCATGGCGGGCGTGCGCCACCCCAAAAATTTGCAAAGCATGTGTTGTCCTCAGCTTAATAAAGAATATTTCGATAACTTTACCTCAAAAAAAATTTCGCCTCTCTCCGCTCGGCAAATATTTAAGTTTGCACCCCCTAAACTAAAATCCTGGATTCGCCCTTGATTTTAGAGTGGTTTTCATAATCCTAAGCATGATACATTCTTTAAAATCAAGTAAGTTTCCACAACTAACTTTTCAAACATGCTAACCTCTATGCCATTTGGTCTCTGGTGGAGAGTTGTCCAATTGACAATCATACCACATCATCTTATTATCATGTGTATACTCATTATGTCACAGGGACCTCCCATGCATTCTGGGTGTCTTAATTATGAAAAGATCTTGTGGGATAAATATCAACCTTACAGCAACCTTACACCACAAAAACATGAAGTTTCCATGTAGAAATGTTTTCTTTGAATTTGATTTATTTCTGTGTGGGCATTATGTATAATAATCTTGGTAGGCTGAAGTTAGGAAGATTTTTGAATGAATGTTCCACATCCAGTGGAAAGTACTCCATTCTTTAAATGTCACAGAAAGTACTCCATTCTTTAAATGTCACAGAAAGTACTCCATTCTTTAATTGTCACAGAAAGTACTCCATTCTTTAAATGTCACAGAAAGTACTCCATTCTTTAATTGTCACTGAAAGTACTCCATTCTTTAAATGTTACAGAAAGTACTGATTTATTGCTGTTCTTCATCTTAAAATTATAATTAATCTTCAACAAAATGTATAAACATTGTGTTTTATTGAGAAAAAAGAGTGTTTGAAAAAAAAAAAACCAAATTTGATTTGTGGAGACAGCAACCAAACAATTATTAATATCTCTGACTGCAACCATTAAACACAATAAAAACTAAAGTACATCTATAGTTCAACATATAGTTTTCAGTGAAATTCTAATATGTACATCCTTCAAAATGCCATGCTCTATAAACCCCACAGCATCAAGTTGTAAATTGATTTAAAAGATAAAACCAAAGATGAGCTTTCAACAAACATCACAAATGTCTACTTTCTTTATGGTAAAAAAATACAGAGAAACAATGTCCAGAAACACTGACCACAACAGAAACTGACCGATATAATTCATATTGTAAAAAATGACACTCGGTCATACCAGTTGACATTTTCAGAAGAAATTTGATTTAATATTTGTAATTATTTGTCCTCATATCATTGATTAAAAATGTTGATCAGGTCGTCCATGAAATTAAGTAAGTATTTTCTCTGGAAACATAATTATATGGGCAGGATTGAATGAAACTAATACTGTAGAAAATTAGTATTTACTCAAGAGTGGACTAAATCATGGAAGTCTTAAGATATAAGGCTTAATAAACATATAAGCAGATATGATGTCTATTGTGTTGTTCTCTTCATTCAATGCCCTTGCAGAAAGGCTATATCTATAGCTACATGGTGCTAAAGTTTTTAGATAATGTCTTCATTTTACAAATGATTTGCTTGACAAGTTTATTGTATGTATTGTATTTGAATGGAATCAAATTCTTTCTTTTTCTAATTTCTAAACCCCATGCTACAAAATAGCTAGGAGTAAGATTTTTTTAATCTATCCATCAGTTTTTTTTTGTTTTGAGACAATAACCCCAATACAATGTTTTTCTTTGTTAATATATTTGTTTGTTTTGTAGTGATTAAGATTATAACACAATGTTGACATTTTTACCTATTATGTCTGTTTGTTTTGTTCACACATTGTTGTCAATATAATGGAATTTCATGTGAATGTCATACAAGTGAGAGGTTTAGAGCTAGCTATAAAACCAGGTTTAATCTACTATTTTCTACATAAGGAAATGCCTGTACTAAGTCAGGAATATGACAGTTGTTTATATATATTAATTTCCATTCATTTGAATTTTCCTTGAAGTTCGATATTTTTGTTATTTTATTTTTTATATGGAAATTAGGCATGTCAACGAGTACTCAAGTATTCCAGTATCAATCG